AATTTGCCCAGCGTGGCACAGATGGACCTGGGATCTGACTCTCTAAGATGGGGGCTCTTCACCTTGGCTGCCTATTTGCTAAGTTTCCTTAAAAAATCCTTTGGGGAAGCATGGTGTTCTTAGGTTGGGGGGTGGCCGTTGGAATAGGGGCCGAGGAGCTCTTTTCCCTGAGGGGACCACACAGGGAAAAGAGAGGTAGGGGAGAGACAGACTCCTTAGAAACCCCTGTAAGCTGTGTCCCTGGTGGCCGTCATGAAAGGGTTATCCCTACACATTCGATATTTGCAAAAATGTGGGTTCTTTCAGATTCCAAAACTCATTTCCATGACAAAACTCTTGGGAAGAGAAGATGAAGGCCTGGCTTTTGCAGAACAATCTTCCAGCTGTAATGAGGACTGAAGATGGCAATGGGAAAAGGAATTATAATTAGAATATGAAATGGGGAAAATTAATCTATTCCAGTCACTGGTAAGAGGATGTTCTCCTGGCGTTCATGGAAATTCTTAAGCTGTTGTTTCTCCCTACATTTTTTCTCTCACATTTTAAAGCATAGGGAAGGCTGTGTGGTATAAAAGAAAGGTTTTTGACCAAGGAACTGATAAACTGTGAAATATGCATAGAATTGAAGTTCATGTGCATCTTTGCTTTGTATGTGTCTGTATGCACATGCAGTATATGTTTGTGTTCACGTTTATGTCAGTCACATTTAAATGGCTGCAGACGCATGGAATGTTTATACACATTTGGGCACACCCTACTTTCCTTGTGTGCATGCTGTGGTTGTTGTGTGTCCAGTTGTATAAAGGATCTCTGACATGGGCCACACTCACGCTTGTGCTGTGTGTGCATTGGTTTGTGTTACCCATGGACATGGTACATGAGTGAGTTGAACGCTGCCGTGTTGAACGCTGTGCTGCGTGACATGGGTCCACACAAACATGGGTTTGTGGTGCGTGTGTGCGCTGCCCACGCTGTGCACACGGTATACATCATGTACCTTTGTGTTCACACAGTGTATGCAGTGTGGTGGGTGTAGATGTGGGTGTTTTTGATCTTGTCTGTGCACATGTGGAGGACGAGGTAGCCCTGCTGTGTCTGAGGGCAGAGGTGACTTTGTGACCTCTGCCCTTGGCTTCCAAGTTCATTTACCCAGAAAAGGTCCCAGATGAGGAGGGGCTGAGGGGGTAAGCCCCAGGCCTTAGAGTCCTGGAAGCCAAGTCAGGGGGAGCCTGGAAACCCTCAGTGTCCGCCATCGATTCCTTCATGCCCTCCAAGGGCTCCGATGTGGTGAAACCCTGGCAGAGGTGGGCAGAGAACAGGCCTCCCCGCCCCTTCAGGGCCTCTGCTCACCACTGCTCTGCAGCTGGTTCTGAGCCCAGCAGGCTCCAGGGCACCGTGCAAAGTGCCCAGGGGTGACTTAATTGAGGAGACCCAGGCCCTGCCTCAGGAACCTCTGCCAACTTCTCAAGTGCTCCTTGAAAGCCAGAAGCAAGCTCTACTCCAGCAAGTGGCAGCTCTTTCCTAGACATTGGTTGAATCAAGGAGTGAATGAATAAGACAGTCTCTGGTGACCTCATGGGAATCCACTGCCCACCCTCTTGCCTGCCCCTGACACACTCGCATCAAAGACCAGGCCCCCTTGCCCTCCATCTCCAGTGCCATTCCCACTGCTCTCTCTGGATAATTCCTCCCTCTCCTGAACCTCTAACACACTTATCAAGCACCTGTTATGTGCCAGGTCCAAGGCAGACTATTGATTATATAGTAGGATCTAGAAAAGCATGGGTCCCTGCTGTAAATGCACTTTCTGCTAGTTGGAGAGTCCAAGCAGAAAAAATCCAACAAGGGACTCTTAAATCCCATCCCTCCCCAGCTGTGTGATCTTGGACAACTACTTATCCTCTCTCTACCCATTTCCTTGGTTTTAGCAGGGAAAAGAATACTTTCTTCATTGGGTTGTTGTGAGGATTAAATGAGGTCTTTTATGTAAAGCATTTTGCTCAGTGCCAGGAATATTCAGTCACCAAATATTTATTGATTGTCTACTGCGCATATTGGGGAATGAAGCAGATGCTGACCCCTGCCTTGCGGTGGCTCTGTTCTCACCAGCATTTAATAAATGGTGACCATTCAAAGGTTTTTTTGGACATCTTTCCCTCTGTTTCTTATGTATATTCCTATACCATACTGTTCGATTACTATTGCTTTATAAAATGTTTCAAACACTTCATTAAACTTAATGTTCCTCCATCTCCCATTATACTTTCTATTAGGGTCTACTTATAAGTTACGTGTGGTTTTCAAAAAGTTTTACTTTTGTCAAAATGACCAATGGCCATGGTCACACATCAAGTCAAGTACCCAGGAGCTTTTGCTGAAAGCGCCCCTACCCTGCCTAATTTATAGCCCCATCCCTAATGCCAGGCTCTGGGAGATTTGGAGATGACCAGGACACAGTTCCAGCCTCCATGTTGCTTCCACTCTAGGACAAATGACAAATGTGGAGACAGTCTATGTTGTAAGAGGAACAGCCAGAGGAGGTGAGAGCATGGCAGGCTTCCTGGAGGAGGTAGCCTCTAAGCAGGGTCTTGCAGCATGAGTTCTGGGTGCAGTGTGCTGGATGGAGTCCTGCGTTCGGGGTCAGTGCCCAAACTCTAGGCATGGAACAGCCTTTTCTTTTAATCATCCAGCAGTCACTGAGGGGCTCTCCCCGTCCCTGTGCTGAGGAGGCTCTTTGGTGTAACCATCAGCCCAACTGCCTAGATGGTCAGAACTGGTCAGAGGCTATCTGAATGTGGTAGTGGCTGCTTTATTTATTTATTCAACAAACATTTATTGAGTACCTTCTCTGTGCCAGGCACTGTTCTAGGAGCTTGGGAGGCATCAAGGTACAGATAGACAAAGATCCCTGATCCCTGGGAGCCTCCATTTTAGTAGGAGGAATCTAACAGTAAGCAATGAATATAGTGAATACAGAGAATGCTAGAAGGTAATAGGGGCTATGGAACAAAGACCAAGGGAAGGCGGGGCGAGGACATCGAAAGTGGTGGTAGAAGGGTGGCGGGCTCTCAGCCCACAGGGGCTGGGGCTGGCATCTGAGCCAGTTGTCAAGCAAAGCTGCTCTGAGTGAAGGGGGCTGGGTAAACTGACATTTCACATGTTTGTGGGCGTGTGGATTTCTGCAGCCTCTGTGAGGGCAGCTGGGTGATGTCTGTCTAAATTACAAATGCACATACAGTTGGACCCAGCAATTACACAAATGAATCCTACAGATAAACTCACACCCGTGCTCAATGACGGATGCACAGAAATATTTATGGGAGCAATATTGGGATAGCAGAAGACTAGAAGCTACCCATGTGCTCAACTGGTTAAATATATGTGTTATATCCATACTGTGGAATACTGGATACAGAAGAAAGAATTATGTTCTGATGTAAAACATTTTCTAAGATGTGTTGCTAAGAGAAAAATAAAGTGCAAAGCTGTATAGCATGCTGTCTGAATAGAATAAATGACTCTAAAATGTGTATATGTAGACAGTCTTTGAAAGGATATAAAAAAGCTGGTAGACATTGCCTCTGGAGAGGGGCAGTGGATGGCTGGGAGGTGGGGTGGTGTTGCTTTTTGTACTCTTGGAATTTTGAACCATGTAAATATATCTTAATAAATAAATGGTTCAATTAAAATAAAATGGCTGTTTGCTATTGGTGCCCCACCCAGAACCCTTTACTGACCAGCACAGACATCTCCCACCCGCCTTGAGCAGGAGCTGCCTACAAATGGCTCACAGGAAGTATAGTTCTCTGAAGAATTGTCCTTGGCCAATTGGGGACCACCTTGCTTAGAAGGTTATCCCCTGAGGGCAGCCCATGGCAGATGACTTCCTTACCTGGGCTACAACAGCCACCCCTTGCTTCGTGTTGGAACTAACTCTGCAGTACAATTCATGCCTTAGAGCTCCCCACCAGAACAGGCTGAAGGACGTCTTCAGCCAAGACCACATCCTTGCTTAGCTGCACCCAATCCTGTCTGGCTTGCCCCCCACACTTACAGGTTATTCCTAAGGAGCACTTAATAACCACATGCATCTGAACCCTTGCCTCAGGCTCTGCTTCTAGGGAACCCTATCTAAGACACCTAGCTCAAAGGAAGGGAACTAACTGGAATTAAGTGCTCTCCCTGTTAATGTGTTGAGTCAAGTGTCCTACAGTGCAACATCCTATGAAGAGGGGCCTACAGGCATCACCCTCATTTAACAGATGAGGAATCTCAGAAGTTGAGACACCAGCTTGAGATCACACTTCAGGGCAAAGAGGGAGACGGGGTCCCAGAGCCCACATCTCTTCCCCTGCACCTGCTCCTGAATTTTTCGGCAGATTTATAGGGAAATCTTCCTGAATCCAGACTTAGCACCTTCTTTGCACACAGGATGTAGTTCCTGTACATGGTCTCTACCAGAGTCCTCACTGCCTGTAGCCAGGCGTGGCCCTAGGGGCTGGGATGGCATAGGCGATGGGCTAAAACTACTCAGGATGGCAGGACCTGGAGGGCATGTCTGGGGAAGGCTGTCATGATCCCAAGGTTCTGGTGTTCTTGGCCTCCCCCAGCACACGGGATCAACTTTAGCTGATCACCTGATATCATTTTGGTCAAGGGAGGTGTTTGCATACTTCCAAGAATGGGCAGCTCAGCACCTGACAAGGCAGCCTGCTGTGTCTATGGATAAGTTATAGAGGGCAGAAAGGTTTTCCTATTTTCATTCTAAATGTGATTAACAGCATGAACCTGAACACTTGAGGGCCATGGAACAGGGGCTGCTCCTTCCACCCTAGAGGTAACCCTGCTGAAATGGGGCCTTGGGCATCCTGGGCTCTGATTTGGCTTCTGCAGCCCCCACAGTCCTCTGCATTCAGTCCTGCCTTCCTCGGACTGCTTCTCCTGGTGCCTTCCTGAGAGCATTTTAATCAGAGCTGCTTCTCCCTCTCTCTCTATTCTAGTTTGATGGTGACAGTGCCTACGTGGGGATGAGTGACGGAAACCCCGAGCTCCTGTCAACCAGCCAGGTGGGTGCCCCATCCTTCCTGAACTTCAGATTTGGGCTGGCTGGAGCCGAGCTCTTCCTGGGTGGAGTGGGGGGTGCAGAGTGGGGGCCAGCACAGGCTGCTGCTGTCCTCTCTCTGAATGATCAAGAATAGCAAATAGCAAATCCTTAAAAGGCACAATCGAAGTGGAACTATAGTGTTCTCTGTAAACCAACTACCTGGCTACTCTTGGCTTAAAATGGTTTGGGAACTGGATGAAACTTGAAACGTATTGCCCACACTCCCCACGCTTGGGGCAGCTTTTCAGCAGCAGTGAGTTGAGGGCCTGCTGCTCCCTGGTGCCGCCTGCCTCCTGCCACCACACAGCAACCACGGGGACATGTTCTGGTTTGGATGCACACACCCATGCATAGGCATGCGTGGTTCTCCTGCCCGCTGGGAGTTGAAGGCCACAGGGGAGGGTTGTGGACAGGGCACAAGGGAGGAGAGCAGAGGCTTCCTGTGAGGGCCTTGCTGGTAGCAAAGGAAGCAGAGTCATTCCTGGGCAAGGCTGTCCCAACCCCAGCCCGTTGGGGGTCACAGATGCCAGTTGGAATCAGATTTTCCACTGAGAGCCTGGTCTCTGAAAATTAATGTTTCTCTCAGCTGGGAGCATCCTCACTATAGACTGTGATGCCACAGAGGGTCCTCACTGCAGGCTGAGATCAGGGAGGGTCCTCACTACAGGTCAGGACCCTGGGGAAGGTCATCCTTGCAGAATCTGATTGATGCCAGGGAGGGTCCTCACTGCAGACTGGGGCCCCAGGGAGGGTCCTCACTGCAGGCAGGAGCCCCAGGGAGGGTCCTCAGTGCAGGCAGGAGCCCCAGGGACGGTCCTCACTGTAGGCTGGGCCCCAGGGAGGGTCCTCAGTGCAGACTGGGGCCCCAGGGAGGGTCCTCACTGTAGGCGGGAGCCCCAGGGAGGGTCCTCAGTGCAGGCAGGAGCCCCAGGGAGGGTCCTCAGTGCAAGTAGGAGCCCCAGGGAGGGTCCTCAGCGTAGGCTGGAGCCCCAGGGAGGGTCCTCAGTATAGGCTGGAGCCCCAGGGAGGGTCCTCACTGTAGGCGGGAGCCCCAGGGAGGGTCCTCAGTGCAGGCGGGAGCCCCAGGGAGGGTCCTCACTGCAGGCGGGGGCCCCAGGGAGGGTCCGAGCCCAGGAGGTCCTCACTGCAGGCGGGAGCCCCAGGAGGGTCCTCACTGCAGCGAGGAGGCCCCCAGGAGGAGTCCTCACTGCAGGCGAGGGCCGCGGGAGGGTCCTCAATGGCACTGCAGGCGGGGGCCCCAGGGAGGGTCCTCACTGCAGGCGGGGGCCGCAGGGAGGGTCCTCAATGGCAGAATGTGATACCAGGGAGTGTTCTCATTGCAGGCATGGCATCGTGGAGGATGGTTCCTTAAGGCAGTGGTGCTTGCTGGGTGGGACCAGCTCAGGACACTGATTGGAGAGCCAAGGAGGGTTATAGTTGCTGAGAAACTTGGGAAATGGGAGGGTAACCCCAGTCCTGGAGCTGACCTCACCCTCTGTCTCTACCATTGTCGGGGCTATGGCAGTCCAAGTTGGGTGGCCCCTCAGCCATCAGGCCCGGCACATATTTTCCAGCTGGGGCAGTAGAAGCCTATTAACTCACAAATATTTATGTCCCTATTCTGTGACAGGTCCCATGGAGGCCATAGACGAGTAAGACAAGGGCCCGTGGCCCTAGGGGGCACTACTAGTGAGGAAGATACTGTAGTCTTAGTGGGGCATGGAAGCTCTGCTGCAGGGTGCTGTGCCCCCTCCCCTGCCACTGCAGAATTGCTCATGCCAAAGCCACCATACCATGCCCCTCTCTGGCCTGCCCCTGTGTGAGCATCATGCTGCTGCTGCAAAGCTGCCTTTATATTGCATTGACATGCACCAACATGCGAGACTGGTGGGCAAGACTCCAGGCCCTGAAAGTGGTTATTTTGGAAGAATCCACTGATGTCATTTAATTGTACATAATTGTACATAACTGAAATGTCATCTCAGCAGACCAGAGTTAGCCCTGGCATCTCATCTGAGCCTTTTCACAATGTTTAGATAGTATTTTTGTTAACATATTGAGCCTTGGTTTTCAGAACTATATTATGGTGAATTCTGTTCTGGAACCTTCTGGAAAGCATTGGCAATGTCCTTCCACCAAGAAGGAAAAGTGGGACTCAGTGGGGCTGTGTGTCTGCTCTAGGTCTGGGCAGATGGGAGCACAGTACTTTGGAGAGGAAACTTGGTACAAATAAATGTCACCCTCCCCAAACCATTAAAAGTCATATCCTCAACAATTCCCCCCAACGCTTTGCAGCTTGCAAAACCTTTTTCTCAATGGTTATTTCAGCTAATCTTCACAACAGCCTCGAGAATGAGTAGTCATTATTGTTCAGTCAATTTTATAGATAATGCAACTGAAGATCCAGGATGCTGGCTGATTCAATCAAGGTGACTCAGCCAGGGAGCACTAGAGCTGGCATTCGAACTTGTGAAGCTCAGACTCAGAGCTCCACAAGCTTCCCTTGCCTTGTCCACTGACTTGCCTCAGCCTAAATGCCACTTCTACAGAGAGCTCTTTGTGACTGCCAAACCCACATGAGGTCCCCTTTCCATGATTCTCATTAAAATGGCACCAGGTCTTTTTAATTTATGATGTTTGTCACTGTGGTCTACTTATCTTGTGATGACTTAGTTAATGCCTGATTTCCACCCTAAACTGACCACCATGGGGAAAGGATCTGGTCTCTCTGGTCCAATGCTATGTATCCCAGTGGGGCATAGTGTCTGGAACACCAAGAGCACTCAGAAAATATTTGTGTAATGAGTGATGGTAGCCCCTGCTCTCCTCTGAACTTCAGTGTTCCTAACAGTGGAACAAGGTGGTTGGACTTCCTAAGGGTCCTTCTAAATCTTTTATGCCGTGACCCAGAGGGTCTCCCTAACTTAGGACTTTATGAAGAAGATATCAAAATTCTCTGAGATTAATTAAGTCTAGCCAGTGGCATAAGCCAATCTTAATGTGAACAAATTTGCAATTGCAGTTAGATTTCTTATAGTGTATCTGTTAGTTTTTGCTGCATAACAAACACCTCAAAACTTAGTGGCTTAAAACAACAAATGTTTATCTAGTTAATGATTCGGTGGGTCGGCAGTTTAGCTGAGTTCAGTTGTGTGGTTCTTCTGGCGTTGCCTAGGATCACTTTAGCAGCAGCAATACGCTGCCAGATGGGCCGGTTGGTTTGGGAGGGTCACCTGTGCTCCACATGGTCTCTCCGCCTCCAGCAGGCTAGCTCCAGGTTGTTCACATGATAGGAGAAGGGTTCCCAGAGCAGCAAGAGCAGAAGTTGCAAGATTTCTTGAGGTCCAGGCTTGAAATAAACACACATCTACTTCCAACACATTCTGTTGGCCAAAGCCAGTCACAGGACCAGCCTTGAATCAAGGAATGGGGAAATAGCCTCTACCTCTTGGTGGGAAAGGCTGCAAAGTATTGTGGCCTTTTTACAAACTACCACATGTAGGAAACATATGGGATATGATTCATGCTGATTTTATTGAAAAGTAGACTTTTCTGGTACCAATAGCTCCCTACAGCTCAGTGGGACCCTACTGGCTTCTAGTCTTTAATGATGAAAGTCCTATATATTTCCTTTCTCTTTTCCCTGGAGTGCTTCTTAAACGCACGACACACACACATACACACACACACACACGCACACAAACACCCTTTCACAATGTATTGTCTCATCAACTGCAGAAATTGTATTGTCCCAACCCTACTGGATTAATGATTGACATCAACATTTGGGTAAAATGAAGCTCTCACAGCCACTAGAGGATTCAGAGGATAAACACTCTAAATGGCATAAAATATTTTTTGTAAATACAGTTGAATACAAGGTTCACCCAATCAGCAAATGTTTATTGGGCACCTGTTATATGCAAGGCTCTGAATATCAGTGGGAAACCATTTCTGGAAAACATTTGCTTCCAGAACATCCAATCTTTTTTTTTTTTTTTTTGAGACAGAGTCTCACTATCGCCCAGGCTGGAGTGCAGTGGCCAGATTTGGCTCACTGCAACCTCCACCTCCTGGGTTCAAGTGATTCTCCTGCCTCAGCCTCCCAAGTAGCTGGGGTTACAAGTGCCCATGACTACACCCAGCTGATTTTTTTTTTTTTTTTTTTTGTATTTTTAAGACAAGGTTTCACCATGTTGGCCAGGCTGGTCTTGAACTCCTGACCGTAAGTGATCTGCCCATCTTGGCCTCCCAAAGTGGTGGGATTATAGGTATGAGTCACTATGCCTGGCTCAGAACATTCAAATCATAGTACAAACCTGCTCTTTAATGTAACACTTCTCCTGAAATACCATCTTCTTTACTTAGAAACCGCAGCTGAGACAGAGGCTCCCCTAGGGTATGTATTAGCTGACTGTGTCCCTTTTTGAGAACTTTCACAGCAGCTCTATGGGCTTGAAGTTTTTTCTGCAAATGCATGCTCCATTGTTTGGTTTTTGCAAGTCTCCACAGAAATTTTCGCATAGCTGCTTTAGCTTTTACAAATGATCACACTCCCTCTCCCTCCTTGGACCTTGGGTTACTTTTGTACCAGACTTGCCAGGGTGGCCTGAGAATGAGGTATAATTCTCAGATACGGCTGTGTCCCCATCAGCAGCTCCAGGCGGGTAGAGGACCTGGTAGAGGTCAGTTCTTTCCTGTTGAGAGCAGACTCTGTCCAGGATTTACAGGAGTGGGTATTTCCTGATTATGTGACCCAGAAAGAGTCTCCTTCCTGGGATGAGGTGAGGAGGAAAGGGAGTAGTGGACTTGGGACTCAGCAGACCTGGATTCAAATTCGAGCTCCTCCATGCCTCAGCATGAGCCAGATTTCCTTATGCATGTGATAGCAGCTTCCTATCAAATGGGAGGAGTAGCGCCTGCCTCCTAGAGTGTCATGAGAAGTAAATGAGGTATGTGTGT